AAATGGTCGGTTGTCAATTTTTTGAACTCATTAATCAGATTTCATAATAATATTATTTACGTTTAGGGGGTGTTCTTTTTTTGGATTTTGAGAGGGGGGGAAGTTGGTCAATGGGATTTTGGTTCCCATTGACCAACAATCCCATGTTCATTTTTCAGATTTATGTGAGGGCTAGGGAAAGCTTATTTTCCCAGGTAAGTGATATCCATCTCTTAGGTGGGTAAATAATTTCCTACATAGGGGGAAAGTTGCTAACACTTGAATGGGACAAAAATGACCCTTTTAATAATGAATTTTTATGGATAAAATGGTCATTACATTATTTACGTAGGAAATAAAAGAACATGGGTAAATGAACTTACTCAGGTAAGTGTTTCCCAGGAAAAGATTACCCAGGTAATTGCATTTACCCGGATAAGTAATTTACCGAAAAGCAAACGGGGCCTTAGACTTCAGAACCAAGAGAAATTAAGCAATTCCAATATACATCTAAAAGTAATTATTGCGGTTTTATATGTCAAACTTTGGTGCAAACAAATAGGCCTTTAGTCAAAAAAATTGAAGAAATGCAAGATTCTCTTTGTACTTTTTATAGTAATATAGATATAGATACAAATCTCTTTTAAAACCTTTGATTTCATGTTTTTTTGTATCTCTTTTTCTCTCTTTAAAAAAGAGAAAAACCTATAATGCCAAAAAGACATTATACCCAAAAGGGTTTTGACCAATCAAAATCAAGACAAGAGGGCTCCCCATTGAACATACCCCACAACCTATCCCCACCCGGAATTGGGAAATCTTGATATTCATGGCAAGCATGGGGGATGTTCCCAATGCATGGAGGGGATGGGCTGTGGGGCACCTAAAGGGCGCACTACGTGGGGAGCCCATCCGAACTCTTAAAAATCCTTATGAAATGTGATTAAAGTTATAAGTTTTAGGGATATTATCAAAAACTCATCATGATTTTGTTCACATTTTTCTCAAAACTCACCATGACTTTTCAAAATATCCAAAAGCCCCCATGTCAATTAAAAATAAACAGTTTTTATTAAATTTCCCGTACTACCCTATTAGTTCTAAGTTAGAATGTGGGACAGTGGGAGTATCAATGCTCATCATCTTCCTCCCGACAACTAAACCAGATGACCACGAGTTCTTCTCTCTCTCTCATATGAATCTTATACTCTTCTTGCCTTTAGCATTCAAATTGTCACGTTCAAGTCAGAAGCATTCATTGAGCTTTTGAAAAAAAAAAAGAAAGAAATGATGGGAAAAACCCAAAACCCAAAATTGCTTCTTTAATTTGCTCCACTACTGGGTTTCAGTGGCCTATACAGCACAACATGGCCGGTTTTATGTTAACCAGGTTTTTGGAGGGTGTTGTTAACGACACCAGTTTTAGAGGTTGTGTTCCATCACTAGGTTTGGTTTTCTTTGACAAAGGAGGTGGAAGTGGAGGAGTCTTAAGTCTTCTTATCATTATTATCTGTTTTTATACTTGCTCTTGGAGATTAGTGATGTCGTGAGTTGTAGAGATCTTACTCTTCAACTCTGTTATCATAGCAAACATAGAAAATAAGAAAATGGTAGATAAACGAAATTTAGCAAAAGATAAAGAAACAAGGGAAGCACAAAACTCGATCTTGGTCGTTGGAGGTTTTGGGATCCCTGGTATTTTAGATCTTGAGACCTAGCTTTAATTTTGGTTTTTTCCTTTCGGGGGGTTTCATTTAGATCTATAAGGCTTCACCTCTTTGCCTCCGGATTTTTGAAAGATTGATACATTCACTACTAAATAGGATGAAGTCATAGGTTGTAGAAGAAATGTGGAAAGTTTTAGTCATTCTCTGTCGACAACATTGCCGGTTTTGTTCATGTTGTAAGAAAATGGAGTCCGCGTTCTGTTCACCCATGGGTGCACTGGATGCGTGAACCCGCCAATGAGGGGTGACCACGAACCCTACCCCACAAGCACCGACGAGCTCAATCCACACCGGCGTCAGTCAACTCGGAATTCACCGGCGGCGAGAGAACTTGCATCCGGCGGTTATTCTTCCTTCACCATTTCAGCATGGAGAGGCGGCCATCCCGGTTGGTGTCGAGCTGAGTGAATTGGTTGTGAACACAGTCTTCAAAAGCTTGCTCGTCCTCCACAAAGCTGCGAACGGTTGCCCATCCAAAACTTCTACACTCATCTTCGTAAAATGTAAACAAGCTTCAAGCCTCCGATCAAAGAAGAAGAGGATGAATAAGAAGATCAAGTAGAATTTTTTTCTTTTCTTCTCTTAATGGTTTGTTCTGAGCAAAAATAGAGTTGGCTCTGCAACTATATATACATGATGCTCCGACGTTGAATTAGAATGACAAAGGCCTGTGGTTTAATGGGTTTTCTGTGATCTACAGACTACAGTGAGTCAACAAGCGTCAAGGAAAGGCAACCGCTCTTTCTCGAAGGAGGCCCACTGCACCGCCCCACTTCTTTAAACCGACATACCAATGGCTATTTCTGTGTATATGACGCTATTAAAGAATATAGGAACCGATTGACAGCAATGGATGCACCTAGTTTTGCGATTCATGCTTCTTCCCAATTGGTTGACACTCGAGACTTCTAATGATCCAGTGTGGTCCGCCTCCCGACTGAGTTGACCTCAAGCTCATCAATCATCTTTCAGCTTGTTTGGCATTTGATCCATGACTTAGCCATTTTCAGCAAGGATTTTTAGTGTTGTATTCCTGCATTAATTATGTTTATTGGGATCTTCATGCTATCGGGTTTTTATAGGGAAAAGAAAACAAATAGAAAAGGATTCCAGGAAAGAGACTCTGCACCTGCTGTTTTTGCGTTTCTATATATCAGCCAATCTGTTGTCTTGATGCTTTGCAGTTTACATTGTTGATCAGCTTGATCTTCTCTATAATTATTAGTTAAATAAGATAAAATATTCTTTTGTAATTCTACAATATTAGAGTCAACGATGAAGGAGCAATCTTACTGAAATTTGAATACTCATCAAGATGGTTGTCCTCTTCTAAAACCATCTGGACAGGAAGGAATCCCAAACCTTCGGTCTATTGAAGGTTTCATCCACCTCGTTATATTGGAAATTCACCCACCTTCGTTCTCCGGAAGAATCTCTCACCGGTGTTAAAAAAAAAGGTTCGGTCTGGTGAAAAAGAAAACAGAAATCCCTTTGTAAGAAGAATAAGTAGAAGAAAAAGAAGAAAAGGAGGAGGCCAAGAAGGTACCGCCGGAGCTATCGCCGCCGATGGCCGATGGTTTAGGTTACCTTCTGCTATGGTATGCTCGTCGGTGCGTGGGGAAGGAATCGGTGGAGGAGAAGCAACAAAACGAGAGGGAGGGTTCGAACTGAGGGGTTTTTTATTTGCTTTTGTCTTTTTGTGTCTGGTTCAACCGGACACCCCAGTTAACGGCCAAAGGCCCGATATCATTAGAAAGATTGGCGCCAGATGACGTGGTCAATTCTCATTGGTGGGTTCATGCATCCATTGTACCCATGGGTGCACAACGTGGACTCGAGGGCATCGGCCATCAAGTCCTTAAAATCTTGGACTTCAAAGCTGAACCTAGCCAAGTTGTCCTTGATCCAAAATTCGTTGGTTCTCTCAGCTTGGTTAAGATCCATGTTCCATGCACCTGCACAACACTGGAACGCCCCACACAGCTGGAATCTCCACCGCCCCCACACAACACCACCAAGAAAGTAGTGTTGCAAAGGTCATCGGTGAGGGTAATGAACGGCGGTGTTGTGTGGGAGGTGGGAAAGGAGGAGAAGAGAAGACAGAGGGAATGAGAAAAGAGATGGAGGGAAGAGAATAATGGCCTGATTGATTGCTATTGAATGGCACAGAAATTCTTCTGTCCATATAACAGACAGATGATGCGAACTCATTCAAATGTGTCCCGCCTACAGTGCTTTGTGGGATGACCCATTTATTCAATGGTTAGAATACAAGGTTAGTTTGGTCATATAAATTATGTGGACAATTTCCGTAAATTCACAATGACAAGTGAATTTGAACAATAAAAGCTTTCTTAGGGTGTTTTTTGAAGGTTTTGAAAGTTTATGCTGAGTTTAAGAAAAATTTAAACAGTCGTGGTAAGGTTTTAGATAATATCTCTAAAGTTGTGTTTCTTTGCGATAACGTAAATACATATTTTGCATAAATATTCTCTTTTCGATTTAAGAATGCAAAATGGATTTATAATGTAGACTATTTTTTATATTCTTCTTGTTTGGTTGAAATTGGTGCAAAGCGTGGATCACATCATTAAGGTTGTGTTTGAAAACAATGCAAACTAAGTGTAAATCCCAGTTTAGGGTAAATTTAAACTGGTTCACTTTTGCATCAATTAAAAAGAAGTAAATTTACATTGGGCTTTTGATAAAAAAAGGCTATACTCTATTGGAATTCATATTTGTATCCATTACAACTAAAAACCTGTTTGGTAAGAAGATAAATTTGTCGTATAAAACTAACTCAATTTTACAATTTATATAGACCATTTTACACTCTACATATTTGTCAAACACACTAATTACAAGAAAAACACAAATTTATATCCAAAAAATGGATACACTAATACTCTCTTCTTAGAATACAAAAATCTTTATATTTTTGCATGTCAAACAAGAATTTACATTTACCCCCCAAATTCCCAATGTGTGCTGAATTGTGGATATGGGGCGCAGATGTGATCTCGTCACCAAATGCTTATGTGATCTCGTCAACAAATGCTTACAAATTCGAAGCGTACCCAGGTTGGGCGTTTGTATTGCAAACAAACGCAGCCTAAATTGTTTCGGTATCATGAGTTTACGGCATCATAGTCGATCTTGCACGACGTCAAGCGCATTTGACCATGTGCAAAAATCCCTGTGACGTGCATTTGACCATCTGCAAAAAGGCTAACTGACCATGTGACGTGCTTCATAAAGCGGCGAATTGTTTCTTCCAACCGTACGACTTGCAGTACCATCGCTGACACGTGTCCTAGCTCTGAAAACCTCATGATTTGAAATCGGGTCGGGTGTTCCGACAACACTGCACGTGTCAGTACCCAATTGGTCATAATTGAATTCCGGCGTGGCGTGGCTGCCCACGAACGACCCACCAAGAGGGATTTTAAAGGGGGAGAAAGAGTAAGAACATGAGGAGATCTGCGACTGCGAGAATAAAATTCTTTGATCTCCTCTCGTGGCGCAGATAGGAGTTTGATTTCGTTCTCTTTGCAAATTAGGGTTTTTGTCTTCTGGTATCAGGATTTTGAGGAAAAAGGCGACGGAATTGAGCTGTTTATCAGGGGAATTATTGTGTTCTTTTTGATCTGGATTTTATTTGAATTCAATAATCATTATATTATTTTTCTTTTTTTATTATATGGCGTGAAGCCTGAGGACTTTGGAATGCTTAATTAAGGTTTTTGGTTATTGGGCTTATTCATTTTGGGAAAGAATTCTGTAATGGTGAAGAAACTTGTGAGAATTCGAGCGGGATTTGAGTGTTTTTGAATGGCGTCAGCACAGGTTTTACCCAACCCAGCAGTTTCTTCGCGTAAAGGGCATCTTGAAGCTGGAAAGCGCAAGGTATTGTATTGATTTTGTTCAAATGCAATGCAGTTCCATGTACTTCTATCGTTTATATTGTCCTGGTTGCAATTAATTAGAAACCTATGCAAGGATTTGAAAGTGCTTTTTCTTTTTCTTTTGTTTTTTATTCTTACCCTGTGTTTGAATTGGGAAAAGGGGAACTTATTTTTCAATGTTTTGGACGATTACGCATTTTATAGTTCTCGCTCTATGGATATTGTTTCAGTTTCTTTGAGAGTAAAAGATCACTAAACTTAATTTGGTGCATTTGGACAAATTTTTCTCACCAAAGATTGTTAGTGGTTTAGGTCTGAGGCATGGAATGTGGACATCTCTTTGCTTGAAAAATGGTGGTTGAGGTTAAGCCAAGAACCAGACACCCTTGGGGAAAGTTATAGCTTCCTAATCTATCAAAAAAAAAAAAAATCTAAGGTTTTGATGTTTGCCTGTTTGGAAAGGATTCTAGATAGCACAGGTGTCTTTCATTGAAGGAATTGTTTGCAAACTCGAGGTTGTCTCTAGAATCCTTGGGCTGCTGAGCAATCTGCCAATGGCTATTGGATTCACCTAAGTAATTCACAGTCTTGTTCTTTTTCAAGAAGCCAAGTAGCCAACCAACCATTCTTGAGAGGGGAAGCTTCCCAAGTTCGCAGGTGGCATTCATGGTTTCAGGTGCAGCTTTGAGGAATTTCCTAATTAATGATAAATTATCAACTAGAGATGTGGATCTACCAAACTTGGATTGTGTCCTGTGTCAAGAAGTGGAGGATAATGCAAGTGAACTGTTGATACATTTCAAGTACAGTTCAGTGTTATAGGTCTATTTCTTGGATATATTTGGCATTACATGGTTTTATATTTCTCTTGTACAGTCCATGACACATTAGATACTTGGCATCTTTGGTCTTAGGAACTTAAGAAATAGGATAGATCACTATGGAACACCATACTTTTAGCCACCATTTGCATAATATGCGGTAAAGGAACTCAGATTTTCCAGCAGCTGCTGCCAAGTTGAATTTTGAGAAGTTCAAGTAGGCAAAAATTGCTCTTGGGAAAAGGATTTTAGGGAAGTACCACTGCTTCTTTATTTTCTTTTGAATTCCTTTACATATTTTAATGGTTTTCTGTTCATTATTCTTTTTATAGCTTAGATCCAAATGTGCTAGCACCTAGTTGTACAGGGGCATGCTTGTTCACAGTCTAGTTCTTTGGCTAAAGCATGACAATTAGATGTATCAAACAAGAGATATTGTTGAGAAAATAATCATTTTTCTAAAGACAAGAATCCCAAATTTACTATTGTGCTAAAGATCTGAAGTGCATGAGGCTAAGGGGACATAACTGATCAAGCATCTTGTGTAAGATGTGTGGGTCACCTTGGGGGGGGGGGAGTATTGGAGTATTCAAACTGTATTATGCATGGAGAAAGGGGACATTTTAGAAACTGTATTATGCACGGATCACCTTGAGAGAGAGAGAGAGTTACTGTGGTTTGAATCCCTATTTTTCTTTTTCCCTTCCACCTATTCTTTTTTCTCCATTTCTTCTGTCATATTGTTCATGACATCAGTAGACAAAAGAAAAAGTTAAAGAATCTAGCAACTTGTGTGCTTCTTAAAAGTGAGAGTTTTCTTACTTGATGGTGAACCTCCAACTTTCCTCTCTTTTTGATTGGTCAGACCTGATCTGTCAGGTACAGTCATACTAGGACTGTACAACTTTGTATGGGCTTGGGTTGAACAGTTTTTAAAATTTCAAGGGACCTGACCCCAATATGATATAAATCTCCAGATATGCACCTCTATTCTTTTATAGTTTTTTTTCCTTGCCAATTTCTTTATATTATAGGGAAATGCTTAATATAAAGATTAGCAACTTGTACTTTGGTATCATCCTGATATAATGGGTCTTAAGATTTCTTTCTTTTTCTTGTTTGGGTACAAAATAATAGTCTTGGAAAGTGGCAACATAGGATTTTGATGAAGGAAGTGAAATGTTTGGCCAGGGAACTGAGGCAGCCTTTATAAGGGTCCAAAGATCAGCCAATTGCTTGGTTGATAATTTGGCAAGAGAGGTTGTAACTAACGACCACCATATTGGGGGGGGGGAGCTATTTGTATCATTTTTGTGTAGCCTTGAAACATGGAAGCTACAAACTTAGTTTT